GTGAGCAATAATTATCTCTGAGTGGGGAGACTCCTGATGATTTTTTTTATTCTTCCCCATCACTTCTATGTGTCTTCTCATTTTTCTACAGTGGATGTATATTGTGTTAAAAGGAAAAAAGAGGAGAGAAAACAAGGTAAAGAGAGAACGCTGTGGGGGCGAGGGGGCTGGGGTTGTGGCTCAGAGGCAGAGTGCTTGCCTCACACATGTGAGGCCCTGGGTTCGATCCTCAGCACCACATAAAAATAAATAAATAAAATAAAGATATTTAAAAAAAAAAAAAAGGAGAGAAAGAACACTGTTGAGATACTGGCCTCCCTGGGGATTGTCAGGCCCTGGTGTTGAGAGCTCTGAGCTCCTGTACTGAGATAACAGCAGCTTCAGAAAGTAAAATTTGGTTTCAATTTTTTTTTATTTGTTTTAGGTACTGGGGATTGAACCCAGAGGATCTCTACCACTAAGCTACATCCCCAGCCCTTTTTATTTTTTTTATTATGAGATGGTCTCTTTAAGTTGTTTAGAGCCTCCATTAGTAGCTGAGGCTGGCCTCAAAACAGAAATCCTCCTGCCTTGACCTCCCAAAATCCCTGGGATCATAGGCATGCATGAGAAGTGATGGGAACTTCCAAAAGGTCATCTGGGCATCATCGAAGCTGCCTCTGACATACCTGGAAAAAAATGTCTCATGACCATAAAGCTGTTTTTTTCCAATGCTTAGGTTTTCCCTTCTATTTCCTGAGCATCTCTGTTTGCATCTAACAAAGCTCATAATTCATCTCGCTGCTCTGACCTCTTTCTGGTAGTGCCTGCTACTTTTAATGGAGGTCAGCCAAGTGGCTTTGTGAGGGATCTGGGTTTGGTTTATATATTTTTGTTTCGCCACGAATCTCTTTTGGTATGTGATGAGCTAGGGTTATCCATTTTAAAACACATTCCTGTAAATAACACCCTAATATGATGCACCCAGCCCCTGAACCTCCTTGGAGTCACCTGGTGTTTAGCTCCTTTTGAAATTCAAAGCTGTGTGCAGAATAGATGTTAAAGATATATACCTTGTAAAGTAAGAGCACCCCTGGGTTCAATCCCCAGTACCAAAAACAAACAAACATCAACAACCAAAATAGTCATCAAGGTTATGAAAGGAAGAGAGCAGGTCAGGGTGTCTTTGGTGGCTCAGGAAGAATCTGTTGCCTGAGCAAGGACTCAGAGGTCTAGTCCCAGATCTTCTGTCCCACACACCCTAGTCTTGCTCACCCCTCTACCACCCACTGGACACTGTCTCCAGTTTTTCTTAGTCTTTTTCTGTTTGCACTACTCTTACAAAGGCCTTGCTGGATCACTCAGAGGGAGGGAGAGCATCCAGATTCTAACATCCCCCCCAGAAACCTGCCCAGGTCCCCCCCCCAGCACCTTCAGCTACAGTGAAAGTGTGTGCCCACTATCAACAGCTCTCTTTCCATCCTCCTTGGCAGACCCAATGCACCCTGGGCAGCATGCCACACCTGCTCCATAGGATCTCAAGCTTTGCATCCAAACAGGAACATTGCTTTGCCCTTAAAAAGGGAGATTTCTGGTCCTGCTGACCATCAAGTAGGCTGTGGGGGCCATGTGCCCTTCCGGGAGGTAGAACCCTGACTTAGACACAGGCAAGAGGCCCCAGCAAGAAGGGAGGCAAAGAGCTGGGTCCTCAGCACATCCTGTTTATTCAGCATTTATTGAGTGTCTACTATATGCTCCCCACCTTGAAAAGCTCTTGATCCAGTTAAAAATTTACATTGGTTGGGCTCCGTGGCATACGCCTATAATCCCAGTGTCTTGGGAGGCTGAGGCAGGAGGACTGTAAATTCAAAGCCAGCCTCAGCAATTTAGCGAAGCCCTAAGCAACTCAGTGAAACAAAATATTTCAAAAGGGTTGGGGATGTGGCTCAGTGGTTAAGTGGTCCTGGGTTTAATCCCCAGTAGCCCTCGTGCCAAAAAAAAAAAAAAAAAAAAAAAATTCACATAAAATGTCCTCAGCAGTTTTTGAAAGTGCCACACTGTTCCTAGTCCATACAGACTCATTAGGATTAAGGTCACTTTTGCCTTCGTTTTGTCAGACATAGCTCCTATAGGTCTTTCAGAAGCGGGTGGGGGGCAAGAAATTACAAGCTTTAGCAAAACAGAACCATCTAAACTACAGCCTGCAAGGTTGGGTCACCCACCAGTGGCCCTGCCTTATGAATTTTCACAGAATGAAATTAATTTGAAATAACACAAATGCCTTTATAATATCCATTGTTGATAAGTTGAAAGATCTTTAAAAGAGTTTGTTTGTTTCCTAGAAGTAACTCAATAGGACTTTTGTTCATAGAAAATATTTTCCTTCCTTTTATTTCCAGTCACACAATGTTGAGCAAGGGCTCTTGCCTGGTAGCTGTGGAATGCACTGAACCACGGGCAGGCCCCTGTGGCTAATAGAAGCATCAAGAAATAGGTTTTTGAATTCTTACCGACAGTTTTCTGTCCTTTCCCCCATCCCACCTTTGAACTGCAAAACCAAATTTCAAAGAGAGGTAGATAAAGGATGTATTCCTTGACCTATTTTTTTTTTTTTTTTAGCATCAAGGTTCAAAGACTAGTAGTGAATTAATTTATGGCCCAGTCTAGTTGAACAAATAAAAATCACTATTCAGTCTGAAATCCATTTAGGAGAAATAACTACTTCAGAACACTTATATTTACCCTCCAGGGATTGGGAACAAAAAATAGCAACTAGTTTGGAAAATTAATCTTCCTGGGCCTTCTTAGCAGCAATCAGCAGGCACTAAATAAAGAACCATGGGTATGGCCTGAGTTGGGGGGGGCAGGTCTAGGGGCCTTAATTGCCTATCGACTAACCAAAGCAGCAGCAGAGAAGAGCCCCAGGCGTGACTGATTTGCTTTGTACATCCAGCTTTGAAAAGGCTCCCGGAGTCTTAAAGAGGGGATTTCTAAGGGCATCCCAGCTTTGATGCCACTTTTAGAAAACAGTGTTCAGGAAGGACTAATAAGCAGGCTAATGAAAGGAGTTGGCCCTCTTCTCTGATCTGCCAAACAGATAATGGGGTTTCCAGTTGTTGGAGCTGTGTTACCAGATCGCAATTCCCAAGGACACGCCCCAGATGAAACTGCTCTAGAAACCATCCTGAGTGGGCATCTCTCAAAAGCCCAGAATCCTTGAAAATAAACTTGAGGTTTTCTGCCCATCCATGCAACACAGACTACTTTGCCAAGAGGTTACTATTCAACACGTTCAACAGATACTAGAACATGAGGAAATCAGGTTCTGAGGTCGCTTTTCTGATTTCTTATTTTAAAAAATTCCTCTAAATCCAAATGTAGAAAATCAGAAACTAAGTTACAAGATCATGGTCGTTGTTGGATTCCCCACTCAGCAGCCTCAGATCACAAACTCTAAAGGTCCTCTTTGTCTTACAGAGTTGAGAAACTACTTGTCCTAGGCCACTTAATAAGTCAGGGACCACGCTAGGTCTAGAATGTACCCAAGTATTCTAAGTCTCAGACAGGCTGGTTCTCTGCATGATCTAGAGATCCCCCATAAGCCACAGACAAATGCAGGAGACCCCTGTAGATTCAAATGATGCAAAGCTGAAATATCATGCTATAGGTGAGGGAAAAACTTGCCCTGTGAGTCACACACACCCGGTTTCAAGTCCTGACCCTGCAGCTCTGACAAGGTGGATGACTTGGGGCAAGTTATTAGAGCTCTCTGAGCCTCAGTCTCTTTGTTTGAAAAAGAAAGAAAAACAATGCCTATTACACAGGCTGTTATGAAAACCAGTTCAAAGAAGATCATAACGTTCATAAAACGGATAGCCCAGCTCCTGCCTGAACAGCTTTGTCCTAGGAGGAAGGGTGCAATTACAGATATGGTTTAAATGACATGAGCAACACATCTGGAAGGTGTGACCAGTGACTCAACAAATACCCAATGCAGAGGAGAGCCGAAGACACCCTAGAAGAAGAGCACTGGTGGTCTAGTTAGAGGTTAAGGGGAACAAGAAAGGAAGGGAGAGAGGAGCAGAATGGACCACAGATGTCCAAGAGAAATAGAAAGCAAGGCACAGACGTCATGGACAATGTCTGAATAGTCACACGTTTAAAAGTTCAAATAAACTGATAACATCAATCTTAATGTATGTTTTATTTAGCTTGATGTGTCAAAATATTATTCTAACTTGTAATCAGTATAAAGTTAGTAATATTTTCTCTTCTTTCCCCCTAAGTCTTCAAAGTCAGTGTGTACTTTACACTTAGTACATCTTGATTTAGGCACTCACCATGCTGGACAGCATAAGTACAGGTCCTGTCAATCACTCTGCTGGGTGCTGGGGACCAAACGTCTAGGATGGAGCATGGGGCCAGCCCTCAAGGGATGCATGGTCAAGTTTGGGATCTAGACTGAAGGTGGGGGTGGAAGTACACCCAACGGCATGCATTTGCCTGTAGGTTCCCAAACTGCTTATCACAGACACTAACCCTGCAGCTCAATCCATTACCCCTGAACCCTAGACACACTCCAACCGTGACATTCCTTCCCACTGTCCACATCAGCAGGGGCCAGAATGTGTGTCTGATTTGGGGGATTGAGATATTCAGCCCCACACAGGAGCAGCTCAAGGGGAGCCGGTTGCCTTGCTCTCTAATCCTCTAGGCCACAAGGGACCCACTTTGTACTGGGTGAGCCCAAATTCCAGACAAGTGGGAAGGAAACCCCAAGAGAAGTCTCAGCCCCGGATAAAACCATGTACCTGCCTCTTGGGTGAGCAGCAGCAGCAGGGGGAGGCATCCATGTCATAGAGGCAGCAGCCCTGGCTGCCAGCTGCACCCCGCCTGCCTGTCCCCCTTCCCTTGCCCCTCCCTTGAAAGCCTCTTCATTTCCTCCACCGCCTGACGGAGGGAGACTGACACCGCCCCAAGTGACACCGCACAGCGCCCTCCTCACTGTTCAAATGAGTAGTCATGACCCTTGGCAAAACCAGACATGGGGCTTTTTTGTAGATTCCCCAGCGTTTTGGGAAACACTTTACCTTTTTCTACAGTCCTGCCCCTCCCCCATCCCTAAGATTTTTTTCTTGACTATTCCTGCTGAGAAGCTAATTCCTACTGAGGAGTAAATGACTCCATCAGCCATCTCCCCCAGGAATATTGGCATTTAGACTGAATAATAATAAAATAGCTAAAATTTATTGAGTGCTTACTAGGTGCCAAGCACGGTGCTAAGAAGATAATGCCTCACGCTAGGAAATTACTGGATGATGGCAGGATCTTAAGCAAGGTAACAGAGTGGGAGCAGAGGCATCTTCCTGGTACTTTCTCGGAAGATGATCATTACATGTACATGTATATCCAAAGTACATATATAATTGGTGTGAATATACTATGGATGCAACCAGAAATATGAAAAATTGTGCTCTATATATGTAATAAGAATTTTAATGCATTCTGCTGTCATATAAATAAAAAATTTATATACAAAAATTCTCAGAAGATAAATCCTATGCAGCCTAACTATAAGGCATTATTGTTGGGGATATGGAACAGCTGCATTTCTCCCTCTTAGTTTAAATTTTAGAGCCACTTTCTTGTTTATGGATTAGGGGTAGTAGAATTAAATTCATTTTCATTCATTCATTTGCTTAAAATATGACAATGATCAAGACTGGCAAAGCTCGCTCTCATGGACTTACAATATGGTGGAGGAAGACAGGCATTAAACAAGCAAAATGAGAGTATTACAGATTGTGAGCATCCCATCAATAAAATGAGAAAAGGGTGTAATGGAGGAAAGCGGGAGTGGTTGGGACTCCCTGGGTACAGGCTGCAGGGGGAGCCCTGGAGGAGGCCTGTGGTTTTCCTGTCCCCAATGGGGCTCCTTCTGGATTTCCTGGCTCTTTGTCTTTTACCTACCTTGGGGTTTCAAAGCACAATCCTGGGGTATCTCCTCTTCTCGTTCCACAAATGCTCTCTGTGTGCTCTCAGTCAGTTTCATGGTAGATGTCACCCAAATGTATAACTCTAGCTTCCAAAGGTGTTAGGAAAACTGGATCCATGAATTCAAGGGTCAATCCGAGAGCACCCCTGGGAAGCCCACTGGCATCTCAGGTTGAATTTGCTCTTGACTTTCCACTTCCCCAACCTGTGTCTGCTCCCCTGGTTTCTGGATTCAGTACACACACTAATATCTGCCCAATGGCTCAAACCCAAAGCTTAGGAGTCACTATTTTCTGTCTCTGAAATAGGATCAATGGGACAGCATCCTGACTTTTCTGTGAGTGAATAACATGTTCTAAGGCCCCAGTGATGTACTCCAACACAAACGCTATTGAACTTCCTCAGCCTGTTGACAGGAAGAGCCGGTGAGTGTCTTGGTGTCTTGGAATGCATGTATGCTTCGTTGAATCTTCAGTATGTGTTTTCCCTCCTGTGGGAGGAACAAGACATTATAGGAATGGAGACGAATTCACCTTAAAAAAGACCCTGAGGTTAAACTTCTGCCTTTCTCCTAAGTTAACAACAGCCTAAATCCTTCCCTGAGGGCTCTTAGGAAGTTCCAGGACAGAAACTGCAGTCCTGCAGTCCTGCTACAGGGCTAGAGAAAGGAGCCCTGTAGAGGGAGGAGCGGTCACTACGCATCTAAAAATGGAAACCCTTATAGACTAAGGAAGGGACTAGATTTCTTCTTCTTTTTTAAATATGAAATCATTTTTTTTGACTTTTAATTTTTTTAATTTTAATTTTTTATTTGTACTTTTTAGTTACACATGACGGTAGAATGTATTTTGACATATCATATATACATGGAGTGTAACTTCCCATTTTTGTGGTTGTTACACTGGTCGTGTATTCATATATGAACATAGGAACGTTATGTCCAATTCATTCTACTGTCTTTCCCATTCCCATCCACCCTCCCCTGTCCAATCCAGTGAAACCCATCCCCCATGGTGAGTCAGCATCCGCATATCAGAGAGAACATTCAGCCTTTGGTTTTTTTTTTTTTTTTTTTGGAATTGGCTTATTTCACTGAGCATGATAGTCTCCAGTTCTGTCCATTTACTGTCAAATGCCACAATTTCATTTCTATTTATGGCTGAGTAATATTCCATTGTGTATATATACCACATTTTTTTGTATCCATTCATATGTTAAAGGGCACCTAGGTTGGTTCCAGAGCTTAGCTATAGTGAATTGAGCCACTATAAACATTGATGTGGCTGCGAGGGACTAGATTTATAATGCCTTTGCCTAGACATACTCTCTATTCTCCTTTTCTTAATATTTCTTTTTTAGTTATAGGTGGACACAGTATTTTTATTTTATATTTATGTGGAGCTGAGGATCGAACCCACTGCCTCACGCATGTTAGGCGAGCACTCTACCTCTGAGCCACAACCCCAGCCCCTCTCTTCTCCTTTTAATAAAATTTTAACTAATTATTTCTGAGCACTCACTGTGTGTCAAGAGTTTTCACACATGCATTAAATCATTTTTCTAGCAATACCATTACAGGTTAGCAAATTTCACTGGTTGAACCCCTGATTATACAGAAGAACTGAGGACAGATGGAAACCTTAGTAACTTGCCTGAACAAATAAAATACACATAGTATAATGAACTTCAGGTGTATTTCTGTGCATATATGTGAGCTGTAGATAGCAGCTGAGAGTTGTATTTAAGGTTATAAACTCTACAGAAAGACTTCCTAAGCTTGAGCCTGGTTCCATCATTACCATCTGTGTCACCTTGGACAAATCCCTTCACCTCTCTGGGCCTATCACCTCTTGCATTTAGAATATTCAGAGTGGTGCCTGGAATCCAGTAGGTCCTCGGTCGCCATCAGGCACCAGGGACTTGGTACACGTGGCCCAGAGCTTACTTGGGGCTCTCTGTACTGAGAGCTTACTTGAGGTCAAGCACTGGGCTGGCTGACACAGCACACATCCTGATGATGGTCTCATGGGATCCTCACATCATTTTGCAAGGATATCATCCTTCCTCTTTTACAGTGAGGGAATCAGAGACTCCAAACCATCCCTGATATCACACAATCTCCCAGGAAGTGGCAGAGTAGGAATTCAAATCCTGCTTTGGCTGCCTTCAAAACCTGGGCCCAGGCAGGGGGGCGGGGGGCGCATGCCTGTAATCCCAGTGGCTCGGGAGACTTAGGCAGGAGCATTGCGAGTTCAAAGCCAGCCTCAGCAATGGCAAAGCACTAAGTAACTCAATGAGACCTGTCCCTAAATAAAATCCAAAATAAGACTGGGGATATGTCTCAGTGGTTGAGCGCCCCTGAGTTCAATCCCCAGTACAAAAAAAAAAAAAAAAAAAAAAACTGGGCTCAGTAACAAGCCCGGAAGTTGGTGCTGTCAGGTAGGTTGTGACCCTGCTCCCTGGAAAGCCTGAGGCATGAATTGCTGTTCATGCTTATAGTACAGAAATGAGTGCTCACATGCATGTCTGCACACACATGCATAGGTTTACACACACACACACACACACACACACACACGCCCCTGTGATCTTCAGGTGAGGAGCTTCCACAGTGCCTGCCCTGCGCCCTCTACTGACTACTGCAGCAACCTCTGCCCTGAAAGTCAATTTCCCAGATGAGAACTGCAGGTGGTTGTGGAAACTACTCAAACCAATTAAATTTTTTTTTTTACATCAGAAGATGCTGAAGACCTTGAATCCTTCTTCTTTCAGTTGCGTAAAAACAAGAGGTTTTGAAAACACAAAGCAGATCAAGCCACATGAAAAACCAAATACATGTCAATGCCAGGTGCTCTCATTTTGCAATAAACAAATGATTTGATTTACATGAAACTTATTTTTTAATATAATTCTGTGGGTTGGGGTTGCAGAGGTCACCTGGGAGGATTTTTTGCACCTGTCAGCAATACAATAATGATCTTTGCTGGGAGGCTCCTTGAAGGCAAAATAGAAAATGCTTACAAAAAAAATAGGTAATGAGACTTCTTATCCTGCAGCTCCGACTCCACACCTCACCCTGCAGCTCCACCTCCACACCTCACCCTGTACACACCTCTTCTTATGATAAAAAGACCTCAAGTTTTCTGCCATGCAGCACCTATTCTCTCTCTCTCCTCCCCACCCCTTTCCTGCCTTTGTCTTTCAGGAAGAAATTCTAGAATCTAAGACCTGAAAGATCATCCCATACAGCAACATGGTTAAAGAAAGCCACTTTCAAGTCAGGCAGACCTGGGTTTCAGTCCTGGTCATAGCATCTTATGCAAGTGACTTAAACCCTCTGGGTGCGTAAAAATCATGGATTTAAAATGATCTGATAGGTTTGGTGTCAGGTTTGAAGGAGCTAATGCTTATATATTCCTTGACTTGGAGTCTGAAATACAGTTTAAGCCCCCAAAAGGGTCTTATTGTGGACACCCAGCCCAAACTTTTCATTCTATAGACAAAGAAACTAGATTCAGGGAGAATTGATTTCTCTGCAGTCAGATAGCAAGTTAATGGCAAAGACTAGATCCAGGGGTCCAGCCCAGCTCTCTTTCAACTGTACCCGAGTGGATTTTCCTTCATTCATCAATTCCAGGCAGGAAAAGGTTGGGGCACTTTCCAACCAGTTGGTCAGTTTATGCTGAGCAGAAGCTGTTGCCAGAGCCAAGATTACCCTACGGTCCTGGGCCCCGTCATCAGCAGCCCTCTCACAGCCCACTTAACACACTCTGTCCTCAGAGCTATTGAGCTCTGGTAAAGTTGGTTTTCACAGAGCACTCTTATCACTGATTTATCTTCTGAAAGCTGAAGCTAAAAAACAATTAGACGATTACATGGTGTTACCACTAACAGCCTCAAATGTTCTGGAAACACAGAAAAGCTCTGCATCCAGCCAGCCTCCTATCCACATTCCTGAGTACTCTCCCCCAAGGCCCTCTCCCAGAACTGAGAGGCTGAATGATTACCTACTCTGGGCTCCACTCTTGCCCCCATAGTCCTGTTGCACCCCAAGTGTTCCCCCACCTGCCTTTTCTTAAGAGTCACGGCCAACCATCATGCACATGCTCAAAGCCTTTTGTTCCCATTGTCCACAATGATTTTCCATAGCAATGTTCAGTTCCAGCCGGGGAGCAAACAGTAATTTGTGAGCATAGCACTTCCTGTTTCTCTGGTGTTTCCAAAGAGGACAGAATCAATTGTTCTGACAAATGGCCCCATGTGTCCACCCTTTGTCAGAATTTCTGAAATCCAGCCAGAGCCTGGGGTTCCTGGCAGACAGGTGAACCGGTGTCTACCCCACTCGGGACCAGGTGGTCCACAGCTGCGCACACCAATCAGCCTTTTTTCCAGCCTGGGCCTCTAATCCTAATGAACAGGGGCAAGTGGGAGGTCGGGAGAGGCCTGGAAATTGGAAAAGCTGTGAGGGGCTCTGGTTCTGCTCCTTTCAACAGCTCAGGGATGAGGATGCTATAATTCTTCAGGAGACATAAGAAATACAAAAAAAAAAAAATATTTTGAGCTTCTGCCTCTCTAAAGTCTTCAGCTGCACCATTCACAGTAACAGTTCAATAGGGTGGTGCCTGCTATCCAGGGCCATGTCACTCTCTCAGCCAATGCACATAGGGTTTCTTAGAGTCCGCATGGGGTGCCAGAGACCCCGGGAGAAGCTGAGCCTGGAATAACTCTCTCACTCTCAGAGGTTGCATGGACCCCCAGGTTCTCACCCCAGACCCCCACTACTGTTGCAGGAGAGAAGGGACAGAGGGGTGGGGAAGGAATGTCCGCTTACACATACTGTTTACTTTGGGCCTGGCTAGTGACTTCAGGCCTTATCATTGGGTCCTCAGACTGGGCTGGGCTGGGCAGGGCAGGTCTCAGTGTTGGGGAGAATTGTTTCCCCAATTCAACAGCCAGCTCACGGCCCACTTAACACACTCTGTCCTCACTCTGTGTGAGAGAAGAAAGGAGAGGGTGAAGCAGACTCCAGTGGGGAGAGAGAGAAGCTGCTGGTTGGACCACAATGAAAACCCTCCTCCTGCTGCTGCTCGTGCTTCTCGACCTGGGACAGGCCCAAGGAGCCCTTCACAGGTGAGGCGGTGTCCCCGGCACTGAGTTCTACTGGCACAGCCCCTGCCTGCATCCCCAACCCCAGCCCAGCTCTGGGCTGCCCTGGGGGAGGACAGCTTATGGGAAATGTAGAGAAACTGAGGACCATGGGGATCCATGGGAAAGGTTTCCAGTGGCCACTTTGTGGGTGGCTTCTATCTCGAGTCCCTGCCAAATGAGCTCCAGAGGCACCTGCCCTTAGCCCTGGGGAAGTCCTCTGCCACCATAGAGCAGAAATTTGCCCTTGTGGTTTATTGCTCAAAACCCTCTAGTACCCCCCCCCCCCCCCAGCAAGAGGCCAACCATTACTGCCACCCAGTTTTTCTGTCCCTTTAAATCAGCTTTGATGCAGCTCATGTTATGCTATGGGGGGTCCCACATCTTCCAGTTCCTAGATCTCAAAGAGCCTGTGTCCAGGAGGGAGAGCCTTTCCACTGCAAGATTCTGAGAGTCTCAGGGCAGAGATGAGGCTGCTTGGCTGGAGGCAGAGGAGGTGCTGATTCTGGCTGCACCCTAGCCTTGCTGGCTCTGCTCTTGTGTCAGTTCCTAGTTAACCTCTGAACAGAGGCAGGGGGGAGCCGGAGAGGGGAGGAGAGGGAGGTAGAACTGCGTCCTCTCCTCACATGGGGCTTCGTCTTCAGGGTGGCCCTCAAGAGGCACCAGTCCCTCCGGAAGAAGCTGCGGGCCCGGGGCCAGCTCTCTGAGTTCTGGAAATCCCAGAACTTGGACATGATCCAGTTCACCGAGTCCTGCACCAAGGACCAAGGCACCAACGAGCCCCTCATCAACTACTTGGATGTGAGGCATCTTGGGGATGGGGCCCGGGGACAGGGGAGGAGGGCCATTTCAGCAGTGTTGAAGGTCACTATGGACTTCTTGGTTTGGGTGATTCATAAGGACTGGTCCCCTGGGTCTCTGTGGACTTTGTAGAATGGCTGGAATGAGTAGAGCTCTCTGCAGGAGGGAAGAGATAAGGATGCAGGCATCCCAAATGGAAGGAGCCCACTTTTGCACTCGGCTGGGCAGCTTACTAACTATGCCCTTAGGCAAAGTACTTGACTTCTCCCAGCCGGTGCCCTGATCCCTAATGTGGAGCTGCCCCTGCCTCCCCTGCCTTGCTACAAAGTTAGGAATCCAGAAAATACAAGTAAAATCAAACAAAGTGCCTGGGGGGCTGCAGGGTCCCACTTCTCCCAGTTCCTAGATCTCAGAGATCTTCCTCCTTCATGACCTTTCCTCTGCTTCTTTTATTTCCCAGCCATCCCATCTCCTAGGCTCGGTAAGCACCAGTCCATTGTACCCTATGCTCAGGCCGTAGACACTCTACCTTGGTCCCTTGGTGGCCTCTGCCCTCCACTCACGCCTCCTTCCCTCTCTCCCTCCTTGCAGGTCGAATACTTTGGCACTATCTCCATTGGCTCCCCACCACAGAACTTCACTGTCATCTTTGACACTGGCTCCTCCAATCTCTGGGTCCCCTCTGTGTACTGCACCAGCCCAGCCTGCAGTAAGTGGGGACAGGAGCCCTCGTGGGAGATGACTGGGGTCCAGTCCTGGGACGCCAGGTACTCTGGGGTTGGGGAACAAGGGGTTCCAGAAACTGGCTATCTCTGCCACACCGAGTTTCCCCTCCCCTTCTCTGGGTCTGCCTGGCACTGCTTACAGCTCAAACAGGGCTGGGTCAGGGAGAGAAAGAAAATGTGGTTACTATCTATGATAACAACTTCATACTGGTCAGAATTAGGAGGGAGAAACCTAGCCATTGAAAAGATAAAACTTCGATTTTATGACTCACTTCCCCTGGAACACCAAAAGAACATGGGAGAAAGTTCCATTTGACTGACTCTACACCTTGAAAAAAAAAGGTCAGCAACTCCTGATGACTGTAGTTTCTAAGTACAAACAGTTCACCTACTTCGAGAAGATTTGGTGGCCCTTCTCCCCCCAGGTGGGGCTGTGGGTCACAATGGCATGGGTGTGTCCATCTGCCCAGAGGTAACTCAGCAGTTTCAGTGAAAACTGAAAAAAGAAGACAGATATAAAGAAAAATGTCTTAGTCTGTGTGGGGCAAGTTCTAGAGAACCTCCTCTGTCACTGGAAACCCTGACCCAGGTTATCCCCAAGGTTGGGCAGGGTCGGGAGTACTTTGCTGGAATGGTGATTGTTTACCCCTGAGTTTCTTTTGAAGTCCAGGCTCTGCCCCACACCAACTGGCTGAGACTGCTGTTGGCGCCTGATAAATGGCACTTATCTAGGTGTGCCTCATGAGGTCATTGCGGGCAGTCAGGTTTGCCCAGGGACAACTATTTGCTCCCCAATTAAGCCACATCTCCTGGTAGGCTCACTAGGAAGGGCCATGGTCAGCTTTTCTGGGGGTGCCCATTCTGTGTTGGGAGCTGAGGGAAGAGACAGCACATCTCTAGGGCAGGGATGAGGGCAGTGACTGTACCCTTGCTTTCCAGAGTCACACCCCGTGTTCCACCCTTCCCAGTCCAACACATACAGTGAGCTGGGCACTTCTTTCTCCATTCAGTATGGGACCGGGAGCTTGTCTGGGATCATCGGAGCTGACCAAGTCACTGTGAGTACAATTCCTGTGTCTCCTCTCTTGGCCAGAAACTTGAGAGGGAACGTTGTTGGGAGGACTTGGGGGTGCAGTTTCAGGTCTGCT